TCCCCTTGCTACGCCTATCATTCTCCCTTCCCCTTGCTACGCCTATCATTCTCCCTTCCCCTTGCTACGCCTATCATTCTCCCTTCCCCTTGCTACGCCTATCATTCTCCCTTCCCCTTGCTACGCCTATCATTCTCCCTTCCCCTTGCTACGCCTATCATTCTCCCTTCCCCTTGCTACGCCTATCATTCTCCCTTCCCCTTGCTACGCCTATCATTCTCCCTTCCCCTTGCTACGCCTATCATTCTCCCTTCCCCTTGCTACGCCTATCATTCTCCCTTCCCCTTGCTACGCCTATCATTCTCCCTTCCCCTTGCTACGCCTATCATTCTCCCTTCCCCTTGCTACGCCTATCATTCTCCCTTCCCCTTGCTACGCCTATCATTCTCCCTTCCCCTTGCTACGCCTATCATTCTCCCTTCCCCTTGCTACGCCTATCATTCTCCCTTCCCCTTGCTACGCCTATCATTCTCCCTTCCCCTTGCTACGCCTATCATTCTCCCTTCCCCTTGCTACGCCTATCATTCTCCCTTCCCCTTGCTACGCCTATCATTCTCCCTTCCCCTTGCTACGCCTATCATTCTCCCTTCCCCTTGCTACGCCTATCATTCTCCCTTCCCCTTGCTACGCCTATCATTCTCCCTTCCCCTTGCTACGCCTATCATTCTCCCTTCCCCTTGCTACGCCTATCATTCTCCCTTCCCCTTGCTACGCCTATCATTCTCCCTTCCCCTTGCTACGCCTATCATTCTCCCTTCCCCTTGCTACGCCTATCATTCTCCCTTCCCCTTGCTACGCCTATCATTCTCCCTTCCCCTTGCTACGCCTATCATTCTCCCTTCCCCTTGCTACGCCTATCATTCTCCCTTCCCCTTGCTACGCCTATCATTCTCCCTTCCCCTTGCTACGCCTATCATTCTCCCTTCCCCTTGCTACGCCTATCATTCTCCCTTCCCCTTGCTACGCCTATCATTCTCCCTTCCCCTTGCTACGCCTATCATTCTCCCTTCCCCTTGCTACGCCTATCATTCTCCCTTCCCCTTGCTACGCCTATCATTCTCCCTTCCCCTTGCTACGCCTATCATTCTCCCTTCCCCTTGCTACGCCTATCATTCTCCCTTCCCCTTGCTACGCCTATCATTCTCCCTTCCCCTTGCTACGCCTATCATTCTCCCTTCCCCTTGCTACGCCTATCATTCTCCCTTCCCCTTGCTACGCCTATCATTCTCCCTTCCCCTTGCTACGCCTATCATTCTCCCTTCCCCTTGCTACGCCTATCATTCTCCCTTCCCCTTGCTACGCCTATCATTCTCCCTTCCCCTTGCTACGCCTATCATTCTCCCTTCCCCTTGCTACGCCTATCATTCTCCCTTCCCCTTGCTACGCCTATCATTCTCCCTTCCCCTTGCTACGCCTATCATTCTCCCTTCCCCTTGCTACGCCTATCATTCTCCCTTCCCCTTGCTACGCCTATCATTCTCCCTTCCCCTTGCTACGCCTATCATTCTCCCTTCCCCTTGCTACGCCTATCATTCTCCCTTCCCCTTGCTACGCCTATCATTCTCCCTTCCCCTTGCTACGCCTATCATTCTCCCTTCCCCTTGCTACGCCTATCATTCTCCCTTCCCCTTGCTACGCCTATCATTCTCCCTTCCCCTTGCTACGCCTATCATTCTCCCTTCCCCTTGCTACGCCTATCATTCTCCCTTCCCCTTGCTACGCCTATCATTCTCCCTTCCCCTTGCTACGCCTATCATTCTCCCTTCCCCTTGCTACGCCTATCATTCTCCCTTCCCCTTGCTACGCCTATCATTCTCCCTTCCCCTTGCTACGCCTATCATTCTCCCTTCCCCTTGCTACGCCTATCATTCTCCCTTCCCCTTGCTACGCCTATCATTCTCCCTTCCCCTTGCTACGCCTATCATTCTCCCTTCCCCTTGCTACGCCTATCATTCTCCCTTCCCCTTGCTACGCCTATCATTCTCCCTTCCCCTTGCTACGCCTATCATTCTCCCTTCCCCTTGCTACGCCTATCATTCTCCCTTCCCCTTGCTACGCCTATCATTCTCCCTTCCCCTTGCTACGCCTATCATTCTCCCTTCCCCTTGCTACGCCTATCATTCTCCCTTCCCCTTGCTACGCCTATCATTCTCCCTTCCCCTTGCTACGCCTATCATTCTCCCTTCCCCTTGCTACGCCTATCATTCTCCCTTCCCCTTGCTACGCCTATCATTCTCCCTTCCCCTTGCTACGCCTATCATTCTCCCTTCCCCTTGCTACGCCTATCATTCTCCCTTCCCCTTGCTACGCCTATCATTCTCCCTTCCCCTTGCTACGCCTATCATTCTCCCTTCCCCTTGCTACGCCTATCATTCTCCCTTCCCCTTGCTACGCCTATCATTCTCCCTTCCCCTTGCTACGCCTATCATTCTCCCTTCCCCTTGCTACGCCTATCATTCTCCCTTCCCCTTGCTACGCCTATCATTCTCCCTTCCCCTTGCTACGCCTATCATTCTCCCTTCCCCTTGCTACGCCTATCATTCTCCCTTCCCCTTGCTACGCCTATCATTCTCCCTTCCCCTTGCTACGCCTATCATTCTCCCTTCCCCTTGCTACGCCTATCATTCTCCCTTCCCCTTGCTACGCCTATCATTCTCCCTTCCCCTTGCTACGCCTATCATTCTCCCTTCCCCTTGCTACGCCTATCATTCTCCCTTCCCCTTGCTACGCCTATCATTCTCCCTTCCCCTTGCTACGCCTATCATTCTCCCTTCCCCTTGCTACGCCTATCATTCTCCCTTCCCCTTGCTACGCCTATCATTCTCCCTTCCCCTTGCTACGCCTATCATTCTCCCTTCCCCTTGCTACGCCTATCATTCTCCCTTCCCCTTGCTACGCCTATCATTCTCCCTTCCCCTTGCTACGCCTATCATTCTCCCTTCCCCTTGCTACGCCTATCATTCTCCCTTCCCCTTGCTACGCCTATCATTCTCCCTTCCCCTTGCTACGCCTATCATTCTCCCTTCCCCTTGCTACGCCTATCATTCTCCCTTCCCCTTGCTACGCCTATCATTCTCCCTTCCCCTTGCTACGCCTATCATTCTCCCTTCCCCTTGCTACGCCTATCATTCTCCCTTCCCCTTGCTACGCCTATCATTCTCCCTTCCCCTTGCTACGCCTATCATTCTCCCTTCCCCTTGCTACGCCTATCATTCTCCCTTCCCCTTGCTACGCCTATCATTCTCCCTTCCCCTTGCTACGCCTATCATTCTCCCTTCCCCTTGCTACGCCTATCATTCTCCCTTCCCCTTGCTACGCCTATCATTCTCCCTTCCCCTTGCTACGCCTATCATTCTCCCTTCCCCTTGCTACGCCTATCATTCTCCCTTCCCCTTGCTACGCCTATCATTCTCCCTTCCCCTTGCTACGCCTATCATTCTCCCTTCCCCTTGCTACGCCTATCATTCTCCCTTCCCCTTGCTACGCCTATCATTCTCCCTTCCCCTTGCTACGCCTATCATTCTCCCTTCCCCTTGCTACGCCTATCATTCTCCCTTCCCCTTGCTACGCCTATCATTCTCCCTTCCCCTTGCTACGCCTATCATTCTCCCTTCCCCTTGCTACGCCTATCATTCTCCCTTCCCCTTGCTACGCCTATCATTCTCCCTTCCCCTTGCTACGCCTATCATTCTCCCTTCCCCTTGCTACGCCTATCATTCTCCCTTCAACTTGCTACGCCTATCATTCTCCCTTCCCCTTGCTACGCCTATCATTCTCCCTTCCCCTTGCTACGCCTATCATTCTCCCTTCCCCTTGCTACGCCTATCATTCTCCCTTCCCCTTGCTACGCCTATCATTCTCCCTTCCCCTTGCTACGCCTATCATTCTCCCTTCCCCTTGCTACGCCTATCATTCTCCCTTCCCCTTGCTACGCCTATCATTCTCCCTTCCCCTTGCTACGCCTATCATTCTCCCTTCCCCTTGCTACGCCTATCATTCTCCCTTCCCCTTGCTACGCCTATCATTCTCCCTTCCCCTTGCTACGCCTATCATTCTCCCTTCCCCTTGCTACGCCTATCATTCTCCCTTCCCCTTGCTACGCCTATCATTCTCCCTTCCCCTTGCTACGCCTATCATTCTCCCTTCCCCTTGCTACGCCTATCATTCTCCCTTCCCCTTGCTACGCCTATCATTCTCCCTTCCCCTTGCTACGCCTATCATTCTCCCTTCCCCTTGCTACGCCTATCATTCTCCCTTCCCCTTGCTACGCCTATCATTCTCCCTTCCCCTTGCTACGCCTATCATTCTCCCTTCCCCTTGCTACGCCTATCATTCTCCCTTCCCCTTGCTACGCCTATCATTCTCCCTTCCCCTTGCTACGCCTATCATTCTCCCTTCCCCTTGCTACGCCTATCATTCTCCCTTCCCCTTGCTACGCCTATCATTCTCCTTCCCCCTTGCTACGCCTATCATTCTCCCTTCCCCTTGCTACGCCTATCATTCTCCCTTCCCCTTGCTACGCCTATCATTCTCCCTTCCCCTTGCTACGCCTATCATTCTCCCTTCCCCTTGCTACGCCTATCATTCTCCCTTCCCCTTGCTACGCCTATCATTCTCCCTTCCCCTTGCTACACTCGTCACCTCCCTCGATCGATCCTGCGGAGGATCGATCTTTGATTCGGCTTAAATAGTTTGTAAAACCGGAGTCTCAAGTTTCCCGTAATTGCCTCATCCTTCCTACCCTTAGTTGGGTCACAAAGTCCAACCAACCTTCGCACCTTTGAAACCTATGGATCTCGGGTTTTAAACAGTTTTAAATGCAACACTCAAGGTTTTAGTACAGTGGACGATCGATCTTCCTCAGTTTTGCACGGCCGATCGAGGGAGGTGACGCGTCCTAATGGAACCCACTCCACTCCAATGAAGGGCTCTCCACTGGTCTTGGTGTCTCCCAGCACAGGTACCCCGGCGACATCTGCCCGCATGCCACTGCGCGGCCAATGCAGCGAGTGTCGCAAGTCGAGCAACTCACGGACGACGAGCGCCGAGCCCTTCGCGCCAGTCGATTCTCCGCGGCGCGACTTCCCAGTCCACCGCGCTCCTCGCACTCCGCAGCTGCAGCGACCGCACGGTGAGTCAGCCGCTCTTACTCCTCCTCATCGGCCCCATCGTCCACCGCCTGCGATTCAATTCCATCGCTCAATCTTCTGTCGTCTGCTCCTCTACGGCCCGCGGGTCAAAATGAGGGTGTCAAGGTGGCACAGCGGATGCACCTCCCCCATTTCCCCCCCACCCCTACATAACCCATCCCCCTCCTTTCCCCCCCTCCTCCCCCCCCCCTTCCCCCCCCCCCCCATCCATGGCAGGCAGGCGCATCCCGGGGGCCCACTGGCGACGAACAAGGCGGCGGCCCTCTCACGGTTCCTGCAGCAGCGGCTGGCGGCGAGCGCGGAGGGGGGCGAGGGGGGCGGGAGGGGGGCGCTGGACCCACGGCTGGTGGAGGTGGCCGTGAGGAACGCGCAGGCGACGCTCGTGGCAGGTGAGGGGCGCGCGGGCATGGAGCGCGCTCAATGTGCGGGCGGTCCACATTGGTCCGGGGAGAAATGCATGGGGGTTCTGGGCTCGCCCTGCTATGACCGGCCGTGGATGCAGTTGGGGAGGGCGCGAGGGGGAAGGAGGGCATGCGAGCAGAGGCCAAGTGGCGCGCATGCACCGGGTGCGATGGTTGGATGATGGGATTGGAAAGTGAAGGAAGGGAAGGAGGGAGAAGGAAAGAAGAGGGATAAGTAAGTAGATGGATAGTGGAAGAACGCAAGGCAGGAGAGGGAGAAGAGCGGAGTTGCATGAAGGAGCCAGAGGGTTGGGTGTGAGCAATGAGAGTGTCCGCTTTGGTCCTTGCTGCTTCAAAATTTGTCACACAAAGCATCATGGTGTGTGCGTGTGTGTGTGTTGCCATGCGTGTGTGTGTGTTGCCATGCGTGTGTGTGTGTTGCCATGCGTGTGTGTGTGTTGCCATGCGTGTGTGTGTGTTGCCATGCGTGTGTGTGTGTTGCCATGCATACGAGTGGCCTGCGTGGCAACGGCATCCTCACCTCAGGTCGTGGTGCGGTGCGGCACGTGGACTGTTTCAATGATGGCAACCAGGGGGGTGCTGCCGAGGACAGCACTAGCAGCCTCAGTGGCTTTGATGAGTCGGTGAGAGCAACCAGGCGCCCGCACTCCTGCCAGTGCTTGTGCTACGTCAGCGCATCAGCACGCAACATGCAGCGCTTGTGCCCCATTAGCATCTTGCAAATTGTAGGGGTTGACGTTCTTCAACTTCCTGCTCTGACCTGTGCACTCCTTGCCACTGATTCACCCCTCTCATTGTCGCATTTACCACCCATGCAGTCCGAGGAGCAGCTCAAGGTGAAGCAGAAGAAGCTCAAGGGGAATAAAGGAGGCATCGCAAGCAAGGACAAAAAGAGGAAAAGGAACTTCCACGAGAAACGGAAGGTCAAGAAAAATAAGTGCCTGTCAAAGAAGGGGCACTAAAAGTATAGAAACTGCCCATTTTGGTTCCTCAATAAGCATTTTTGAAACGCTAGATACATTGGGTCGTGTGATTATCAACACATCACCTTTCCAATCCACCATTATACACCCAACTCTATCTAAACAAGATATCCCCGGCCTAATGCAACACTGCGAGTTGGTCCTGATAAAAGTGTGTGTGCACACATCAATTGCGGCATGGTCAGGATTCAGGAGCCGCACGCAGAGATGGCACCAAGTGTCAAATGTTATTATAAGTTCTGAGGCTACAGTGAGTAGCGCACTAGGGAGTACAAATGTTGCTTTTGTACCTCCCTCAACACTAGTCTCAACATTCCATTGCACATCTCTCTCTCTAACTTTTAGATGGTATCACTAGTAGGTAGAGTATCCTAGCCTAACTCGCCCTCTAGCGCCCTCCGCGCTCTAGCCTCCCGTTGCACGCCTACGTGCCCTCCAAATCGCGCCCTTCGCGCCCTCTCAAACGCGCCCTCCGCGCCCTCTCAAACGCGTCCTCCGCGCCCTCTGCGCCTTCCGCGCCCTCTACGCCTTCCGCGCCCTCCTCCTCCGCGCGACAGCTCCCTCCGCGCCCCTAGCCTGCGCCGTCGCGGACCTCCGCGCCTAGCCCGTCGCCCAGGCCCGCGCCTAGCCCGTCGCGCTTAGCTCACGGCTACCGGCCTCCTTCCCGCCCCTTCCCCACCGTCGCGACCTCCGCCCCGCCCCTTCCCACCATCGCGACCTCCTTCCTGCCCATTTCCCACCGTTGAGCCCTCCTCCCGCCGGTTCCCTCCGTCAAAACCGCCCTTTCCGCCTGTTCTCACCGTCAAAACCGCCCTTTCCGCCCGTTCCCACCGTCAAAACCGCCCTCCCCGCCCTTTCCCCACCGTCGCGACCTCCTCCCCACCCATTTCCTACCGTCGCGCCCTCCCCTCCCCACCCTTGGCACGCGCCCTAGCCCCATCACTGCCTGGTGCGCATGGCGCTCCCCAGCTCTACTGACATTGGTCTATCACTCAGCGGCTGGCAGCCGCTTTCTCTCACCGGCCGCTTAGGTTAGCGCAATTTCGCCACTAGTACCTCGCCTCTAGCGCTTGGAGTTGGAGATCCACCGTTTCACGCCTAGACTAGGTCGCTCAGTGCTCCTAGCCTCTCGCTCCACCGTTGTCACACCTTGCCACTCCTGGCGCTCCTAGGATTCCCTCCTCGTTCTTAGCTCCGCCTCCACCGTGCTCCAGCTGCCTCTAGCGTTGCCATCGTTATGGAGTCCCGTCGCCTTCGTTTCGATGCGGAGGGACGCCCGATAGAGTTCGTTTCCACGCGCTTCCTCACCAGCCAGCGTCAAGACGGCGCCACACTGTGGGCCCACGTGTCTGGTGCCCTCAAGGCACCCCCGTCCCCCGTCGCCCTGCCGACCGCCTCGGAGCCGACTCCTACTGCCCAGGCGGAGTATGACCGTCAGGTCCTAGCCCGGGACGTGTGGCTCTCTTGTGACGCTGCCGCTGCTCTCTCGCTGACGGAATTTCTCCCCCCGACTGAGGCCGCCCACTTTGACCAGGTGGAGACAGCACAGGGGGTATGGGATGCTATTGTTGCCCGCTATTCCACCCCTTCCTCTGCCTCCCTCAGTCGCCTCCTCATGCCGTTTGTGTTTCCCGACCTAGGCTCGTTTGCCACTGTTTCCGACCTAGTGACTCACCTCCACTCGCTTGACGCCGGTTTCCGTGCGGCCTGTACCGACGCATAGCTTCTTGTTGCTCTCCCCCCCATGTGGCTCACTGTGCACTGGTTAGTCACCCGCCTCCCTGACCGCCTTGCCACTGCTCGCGACACGCTTCTCCAGAAGCACCCCACTGAGCTTACTATCGATCTCCTTGAGACCGCTCTCGGGAAGATCGAGAGTAACCTCTTCTCCGTTGCCTCCGCCACTGACGTAGTGCCCCCCCGTCTCTTTGCGGGGTGTGCCGCCCCTCAGCTTCCCACTTTCACTGCTACCCGCAGTTCTGCTGCTGTGTCGGTTTCTGAGGACACGGCCGCCATCTCTGCTGCTGACTGGCAGAAACGGGGCAAGAGTGGCAAGAAGGGCGGGAAGGGAGGTGGAGGCGGTGGTGGATTTGGTGGCGGTGGACCTGGGAGCGGTGGCGGCGGCGGCGGTGGCGGCGGCGGCAGTGGCGGCGGTGGTGCACCAGGAGGGAGCCTTGGAGGAGGTGCAGGACCGACAGGCCCGCCTACTGGCGGTGTTCTGCCCGGTGGGGGAGTCGGACCTCAGCAGCAGCAGCTACAGCAGCACCAACTACAGCAGAGACAGCAGCAGCAGCAGCAGCAGCAAGGACAGTGGCAGCAGCAGGCACCGCAACACTTCCAGGCTTGGGGGTCCCCACTGCAGTGGGGTCCGCAGCAGCACTGGGCCCCCCCGCCGCAGTGGGGTCCAGGAAGCACCGGCCGCATCAGTAGCGGTTCCAGCTGGGCCCCTCGCCCCCCTCGCCGTGACACCGGCCCCTGTGACTACTGGTGCCTCACCGGACCGGGCAGCCCCTGCGTCTGCGGCCGCGAAGACCACCCTGCTGCGCGGTGCTTCCGCCGCCTCGACGACCTCTACCGTGCCCGCTGGGGCCCTGAGGCGTCCACTCCGCGCTGGGCTCGCCTGTTAGCTCGTAAGATTCCTTTCTTTGATTTGTCTATGGACGATGCTCGTCAGTATGCTGATGTTGACTATAGTGCTGATGGATCTGTGTGCTCGCGTGTTCGTAGATTAGCTTGCTTGCCTCCTGCTAGCGTAGACCTGTGCCTCTCTAGTCTAGGTGCTTGTGTTTCAGCTCTAGGTGCTTGTATAGCCTCCACACCGAGTTCACCACAGGCAGTGGCGTCCTTGTCGTTCACGTTGGACTCAGGCGCGTCGCAGTGCTTTTTCCGCGACCATACGAGACTCACACCGCTCCTTGCTCCGGTACCGGTAGCCCTGGCTGATCCTTCCTCAGGACCAGCCGTGGCACGCAGCTCTACCACCCTCCCGTGCCCTGTGGTCCCCTCTGGTGTCCTGCGTGGCCTCCACATCCCCTCGTTCACTCGGAACTTGGTGGGTGTTGGATACCTCCAGGACAGGGGGATCACCGTTACCTTTGTGGGGGGTGGGCGGACTGCAGTCTGTACGGACGCTGTCACTGGCAGTGTTTTGGCCACGTTCACTAGGGAGCCGCACTCCGGTCTCTACGTCCTCCACACCGAGCACTCCCCGGTTTCCACGCCCGCTCAGGTCGCTGCGTCCCCCCAGGTTCCTGTGTCTCCACCAGTTGCCGAGTTCAGTCAGGTCGCTGCGTCTCCTCCGGTTTTCGCGTCTGGTCAGGTCGCTGCGTCTTGCTCGTGTCGGTCATTCACCCACCAGACGGTCCTGTGGCACCACCGTCCTGGCCATCCGTCGATCCCCGTTTACGCACTATGGCTAGTCACCGTCTTGTCACAGGTCTCCCTAGAGTCTTCCCGTCGCTCCCTCCCTCGCCTGCACCGCCGTGCACTCCTTGTGTCGCCGGCCGCCTTCGTGCCACTCCGCACTCCTCCTCCCTTCATCCTGCCACTGCTCCCTTCCAGACGCTCCACTTGGACGTCTGGGGCCCTGCACCTACGCAGGGACCTGAGAGGGAGCGCTACTTTCTGGTGGTCGTCGACGGCTTCTCCAGGTACTCCACAGTGTTTCCTCTCGCTAAGAAGTGCGAGGTAACTTCTACGCTGATCCGGTGGCTTCTAGCCACTGAGGGGACTCGTGGTCGTCGTGTCTCCTGTCTCCACTCCGACCGTGGGGGTGAGTTTCGCTCAGGCTTTCTTGCCGGATTCTGCAGCGAACAGGGCATCGTACAGTCCTGGACGCTGCCGGAGTCCCCACAGCAGAATGGAGTTGCTGAGCGCCGCATTGGCTTGGTCATGGACATCGCCCGCACGTCCATGATTCATGCCCGTGCGCCCCATTTTCTGTGGCCCTACGCGGTTCGCTACGCCGCGCACCAGCTGAACCTCCAGCCGCGCGTCTCTCGGCCGGAGGCTTCACCGACCAGTCTTTGGACTGGGTCCCCTGGTTTTCGGTCGGCCTTTCGAGTCTGGGGCTGCCTTGCGCAAGTCCGCGTCACCTCTACAGACAAGCTCTCGGCACGCGCCATCCCCTGTGTCTTCCTTGGTTTCCCGGTAGACTCGGCCGACTGGTCCTTCTACCACCCGCCCCTCCACCAGTTCCTAGACTCCCGTGACGTCCGGTTCGACGAGTCCGTGTCCTACTATGCTCGCTACCCCTGTAGAGGTCTCCCGGTCCCCCCCCCCCCCCCCCCCCCCCCCTCTTCCTCGCACCCTCTCTTCCCCCTGCTCCCGCTCCTCTGGTACCCCCACCCCCCCCTGGTCCTGCCCCGTCCGGTGTGTCACACGCTAACCCTCTACCCCCTGTCGCGCGTCAGGTAGCGTCTCCCTCCCCGCAGTCCTCCTCACAGTCCCCTCAGCGGCCTTCGGTACTTCCGAGACAGGTTCCTGTGGACTCGGTTGGTGTTGGAGCTGGAGGTGCGGCCACTGGCGGTGCTCGTTTTGGGGGTGCTCGGTTGGGGGGTGCTGGAGCTGGAGGTCCTGGCACTGGAGGTGTCAGTTCTGGGGGTGCTGGAGCTGGAGGTGCTGGCACTGGAGGTGCTAGTTCTGGGGGTGCTGGAGCTGGAGGTGCTGGCACTGGAGGTGCTAGTTCTGGGGGTGCTGGAGCTGGGGGTCCTAGCACTGGGGGTGCTCGGGCAAAGGGTGCCGGGGCTGGGGACTCCGACCCTGGTGGCACCCCCTCTGTGGACACTTGTACTGGAGGTGCTAGTTCTGAGGAGACTGGAGCTGGGGGCACTACGTCTGCGGAGCGCACTCCGCCTCCCCACCGCCACGACACGCGCTACCAGGCGGCACGTCGACATGCGCGCGAGGAGCAGGAGCGGTTGGAGCGGGAGCGGCAGGAGTTGCAGCAGTTGGACCTGCTAAAGCAGCAGCAGCAGCGGCAGGAGCAGCAGCAGCCGCCACAGCCACAGCAGCGGCAGGACCTATTTTTTTGTTAAGGGCCCGCTGTTAGCCTTTCTTTTTGCCCGTTTCTTCTGCCCAGGCCTACCGAATCGCGCCCTGCTGTCTGCTAGCGTGATCGCCCTGGCCTGCCCTTTCCACGCACGCACGTGCCCCGCCCGCGCCGCCCGCTCGCGCGGTGCCTGCGCCCTTCGTGCGGTTGACCTGCACGCTGCCCCTGCTGCCCTTGCGCTGCCTGAAACGGCCTGCTCGTGGCTGGGACTGCCCGCACCCTGCCTTCGCGCGGCCTGCACGCGCTGTCCGTGCACTGCGCAGCCCTGCACGCGCCCTGCGTGCGCCCTCCCTCAGCCCTGCCACTTGTGCGCGCCCTGCCCGCGCCCTGCGCGTGCCTTGCCTGCGCCCTGTGCAGCCCTGCCCACCGCAGCTCACACGCTGCCCTGCCCTGCGGCCCGCGCGCCGCGGCCATGGCAGGTCGTCATCGTCCTCGGCGTCGTCGTACAGCATGTCGTCATCGTCGTCGTCGTATTGCGTGGTGAAGGCGCCTGGCGGGAGGTAGACATGGCAGGTTAGCTGCTCAGGCGGCCCTCGAATTCGACCTAAATGACGTTGTCCAGGTTGGTCGACCTGAACCTCCACCACACTGT